GTAACGAGTCAATAAGTTGTGAATGATGAAAACAAATTATGGAAATAGAGATAGCTGTGTGTAAATGTTTTACCCTATTTCATCGCTGCTATATGCAGGCCGCATTTCATTGATGAGCTGTTTTTATAAATTACTTTTTCAATGCTCCGCGGGTCGCACCAGAAGAGCTCGAGGCCCGCGGGTTGGCTACCCGTGGATCAAAAGGAAGGAGGGGATGTAATAATGTTGCAGTAAACGTAGTTCACCAGATATAGAATTGGGGTGGAGAAAGGATTGGGAAGGGCCGATGTTCTTTTGCCATGGGTCAAATCACTGGAGAGGAGTTCTTCTTCTTCTATTTGCGAAAAATGTTGATGTTAAAGTGGAGGAGGTGGTTAAAGGTGTGGATGGCTGTTTTATTAAAAGGTTTAATTTAAGATATAAGGCTTTTATGGGGAAGGTGTACTTCCCAACAAGGGGAAATATTCAGCAACAAAAACTCTCTTGGTAAAAAATAGACTCATGTATTCAACTTTGGACTCTTTGAATTATCCGATCATTCTAGAAGGAGACTTTAATGTTATTTATAGATGAAAAATGGATTACATGGGAGCCACGAGAGTAGTTGTATCAACATTTGTAAATAATTTAGAGATGTTTTTGAGGAAATAAGAGTTGTATGACGTATGGAGGAAAAATAATCCGGATTTTAAGCAGTACACGTTTAGGCAAAAGACGCCACTGGTTCAAAGTCGGTTAGACACGGACTTTTGGGTTATTTTCAATTGGAACAAGCTTTATCTATATACTTGCGAAATTATGCCTGATCATCTCCTGATCATGTGAAGGTGAAATAACAAAAGATGTGTGTATTGAAGGCTATCAAATAAAAAAAGTCTCCGGAGAATGATGGCCTTTCAGTTGAATTTTATATTATGTTTTGGTTAAATATTGGAAATGTTTTGGTAGATGATTTAAATGAAGGATGAAGGATATGACATGGGGAGTTTGTCCATATCGCAAAACAAGGGGGTTATTACTTTAATTGAGAAGGAATGGAAAGACCCTCAAGACATAAGAATTATTATAGGCCAAATACATTATTAAATGTTGATTACAAAATTTTGTCAAAGGTGTTAGCTACAAGAATCAAGGGAGTACTTGAGGAAGTCATACACGTATAGACAAGACGGGCTATACGAATAATTGTATTTGGAGAAGCGATACGTTTAATTGATGATTATGTTCTGTTTTTTTAATGAGGATTCTGATGATAAAGCTTGTAGTAATTATATTGCAGTTGATTTCAAAAAAGCATTTGATTCCGTATCTTGTACTTTCCTTTTGTAGAGTCTTAGAATTTGTTTGGGTTCGGTCCCTTATTTTGTTCGTGTGTGAAAACTATTTACAGTAATATAGGTAGTTGTGTTATGAATGGGGGTTTTGCTACTGGTTATTTTGATATTAAGCGAGGTGTCAGGCAAGGAGATCCACTCTCGCCCTATCTATTTATTCTCGCTACTGAAATATTGGCAGCAGTAGTGAGGAATGATGAGGTTATTATTATTAATATTGGAGGAATTGAAGTTAAACGTTTTATATGCAGACGATATGACAATATTTGTTAGAAATAAAGAATCTGTAGAAAGAGTTGAATTATAAGGATATTTTAAGCAAGATTAAAAGACTTCTCAGATGGTGGAAACGGGGACCTCACGGTGTTTGTACAAAAACATATGCATTATGTAAATTGAATTACCCTTTTGCTTCACTAGTGGTTCCAAAATGGGTCATATCGGAAAAAAACAGACAAAATTATGTTTTTAATTTATTTGGAACGGGAAAGATCGATTAATATTGTATTAAGGTTATAATGAAGGGGGTTACGAATGACTAATTTTGACTCGTTTGTAAAAACCCAACGTGTAATGCGGGTGAAAAGACTGTTGTACGGAGAAAAATCAATGAGATGGAAGCTATACTTTGATTTCTGCTTAAAGATGGTAGGGGGTAGATTTTTTTCTTGTGTAACTATGATTCCAAGTTAATAAGTCATGGAGGGCGCTATTTAAATTGCTGCCCAGCCGAAAATGTTGTGGCTTTACATTTTAAGTATTTTCAACTGTGTTCCTGTTGTGACTGCACAAATAAAAAAAAACCCACAGAAAATGCAATAAATTATCAACAATTCATTGTATTTTTCCCCGATCCCCGACAGAAAAAACCTCTCTGTGGCCATGCCTTGAACCATTGCATGGCCCTACAGAAGAATATTTCTTGTTGGGGAACGAGGGAAAATGCAATGAATTATTTATAATTTATTGCATTTTCTTTGTTTTTTTTGTATTTGTGGGCGCAGCCCCGTACCCTAGCCCCTGCTGCGTACCGTCATTATTCAGTGGTTAAGCAATGGCCTCATTACTGTGAGGCCCCAGGATCAAACCGTGTCGATCAGCTATATTAGTGCCCTTTTGTTAGGCATTATCATCATTACTGTCACCTAGGACTTTAAGGACTTAGGTCCCCTAGTTAATTAGCATAGTAGCACCATTATGCTTTAGCAGTCACGCAAAACAAACACTCGCAAAATATCATTCAATGAAATTTGAGAATGTATATTGTTATTTAGATCTATTAGAAATAAATCATTGTCACAATCATTCCGTAAATTGGGGTAAAAATAATTATTCCACCTTTATAACCAACAGGGTACTAGAAAACACTTATTGAGATTCGGCTGTGTTGAAAATAACTTGTGCTCATTGTGTAAGCAAAAGATTCAAACATATTTACACTTGTTCTGGGAGTGTGTACATGTTTAAAAGTTATGGCAGAATGTAATAACCAAGTTTGAGCTAAGGGAATTAAGGTCTGTCGATTGGGTGGATATTAATTTAGGGTTGTCCGGTAATTCCCCACGAATAAAGATATCTAATACAATTATTTTGCAATGAAATATTGGATATATAAATGCAGGGGAAAGTCCATAATATTGTATTTGGGTGATTTTCAAAAAGAACTGCTGGAATTTGGGGAAGAAGAAAAGAATATTGCAGGGAGGGGAGGTAAATTAGCCTTACATTTACAGAAGTTGAAATAAGTGAAGTTTACATGAATTTTTAACACTGGATTAGCCTTGTTTTAATCATGTATTCATATTTGCATTATTAGTATTATTATTCTGTCGCTCAAATTTGGGGGTATTTTGAGGAGGCTAGGATCAGTGTTTGTGGAAGTGTGGTCGGGCGGTGGGCGTGTTTGCGTGTTGTGTGTGTGTCGCATGGCTTGATGGGTTATTTGTTTTGTTACAACCGATTTCATTTTTTTTCACCAACCGTACAATGTACGTGCTAAAAATGTATTGAATTATGTCAATGTCAAGATGAAAAAAAACTGTATTTCTAAGAATAACTTGTATTGTTCTTTAATCGATAACAAAACTATGGAAAGAAAAAAGTGTGCGTGGGTGTGTGTAGTGTGTGTGCACGTGCGTGTGTTAGTAGATTGTGGTAAAGGGTGTTTGCTTTGCTTTGTTTTGTTTTATTTTTCTCTTTTATCTTAGCTCTAAAAACTCCAATTTTAATTATTCCTACGTAGTTTAAAATTATGTATATGTAATTTTCTTAATGTAATGGACCATCCATGTACATGATGCATAATAATGTTCACGAAATTGTTAATGATGTTTTTTGTTTTGTTTATTTGGAGGAATAAAACAGGAACCAACACAAAAAGTATGTGTGACTGTGAGGTTCGGAGTATTTTCGGAATTCATATTAAAACTCTTGTCTGAGGCCCATTCATTTTTGATTGCTTGTTGGCATTTTACTTCTAAATTGGAGAACCGCCTTTCCAAGAAATGTCAACAATTAAGAAACCCTTTTTTCTTCTTTTCTATCAGCATACTTGTCAGCAAAGTTAGGCCAGACCGATTATGCTGACATCTTCTCTCATTCAACATGTTGTTTAAAAAGTAAAAGATGAATAATAAGGGCATCAAATCAAGAACTCCTTGTTTATCCGTGACTTTGATGTTCATCGGCGTTATTAATTGCGCCCAAAGCTTTGGAATTACCTATCACTAAAAATAAGCCCCATATGTTGCCATTCAAGTTTTGTAGAAGGCCAAATTGTTTTCAGAAGCATTTAAATAGATTTGGGTTGTGTATCAGTGAGGTAGCACTATAACGAGTTTTCTTTTCACCACAGCACAGAAGAGTATTGATATAGTATAGCTGAGCTTTATAAATCGATATCATCATTATCATCATAATAATATTACTACTATAATTATTGTCATTATTATTATTATAAATATTATCATTATTATTATTATCTATTATTAAAAAAAGAAAATCATTATCATCATCATCACCATCATGAATGTATCTGTATCATTAGTATCATCCCTTCATGTTTTTCAATTGTGATATCGCAAAATTGTGAAAAAGAAAGTGTTCCATTCAAATCGGATACGCTACGTTAATAGAACAGTATCATCTTTCACATTATGAAATAGTTTTACTATATCACTCATAAACATGAATTACTTTTATCATATAGTGACATAAGACCGAGTTATACTACGCCCCAATCATCGCTGTATATCGATCAGAAGAAGGCAACTACACGTGGTTTGCGAAGGACCATGGTGTTTAAATGTGATGGACCATAACTGTATCCAAAGTGATTACCTGGAGTGATTATAAAGGACAAGAGTAAATACGTTTGTCTGAAACTGATCCCATGGCATTATTAGGCAACCAAGGTTTTTAAATACAAAAATATACACAAAGCCACAAATATGTTTAAATAATTAAAAATATGTACATGTTTGTACATTAAAGTGTGTACTTTTTGGTAGGCGTTGACATGATTGAAGTAAAACCGACAAGTAAAACCGGCGTGACATGTATCAGTGTTTGAACATTTCATTACATTTTTTTATAATTTAATGTAATTGTATATGATTATTTTGACTTATTTTACTTTATCATTCGTGTTTCTTTGTAATACTCAAGTTGGGACCGACAAATCTGGTGGTTCTCAACAATAAAGACGTCATCAAGGAGGCCTTTGTGACCAATGCTGCATGTATGAGTCATCGCCCACAAGTCATGTTCGATACTCTGAAACAATCACAAGGTAATTATTATATCAGTTAAGGGCGGGACGGGGTGGGGGGGGGAGGGGTGTCTCTGTTGATCCAAGGTTCATAGAAGTGAACGTTAACAAGGCTAAAGGGATGGGGCTAAAGGGGGTAGGGCTAAAGGGGTGGGTAAGGCTGATTCACTTTAAACAATTGTTCACAATAGTTTAAGGCGACCATATCAAATGCCAGTACAGTCATGAACAGAACCTCCATAGAGAGGCGTGAGTTCGAATCCCATTGGTCCAGACACCCTGTTTACTACAGAAGAATAAAAGGCTTGGATTTAAGAGTCGGTGGTATTTGTTACAACCGGATGGGATATTTTAAGAATTCTTTGTTCTAGAATGTGGATGTACTGTCTCGATACTGTAACTTTAAAAAAAGGGTAACTTTCTATCAAAAGGAATCAACGCCCGTTTGTGTTTCTAGATTCTGTTAGCTGTCACCAAAGAAACATCCTAGCAAAAAGTGGGAGTTTTTTTTTTCCTCCCACACTGAAAAGATAGTGAGATTTGAAATAGTATAATTGAGTATTTCATTATTTATAAAAAGTTGATTAGAATCATATTCTGCTGATCATGCTTTTCAGAAAGGGAAAGTTAAAATCTATTCAGACTAAAGAACGTGCTGACAAATTCAAATAGACAAAATGTCCTTGAACTAAGTTTTAAACAAGACTTTGGAGTGGGAGTATCTAATCTCTATACAGTGCCTCCAGTCGGTCGATAGCCACATGACAACTTTTATCCAACTGAACTTACTACCAAGGTGGAAGGAGGGTCCCTTCTGTTCACCATAGGTTCACAAAGCTACTGCCTAATAGATTGACAGATTGAAACAATTAAAATAGGCTGAGAAGACCAACACAATTTGCTTTCTTGGATGTTTGTTTTTATCATACACCTTCATTCCAATTGGCTTTCGCTCCAATGTTCTATTTTATCTGAAAAGTGAAAATATTCTTCATATTCATCTTTCAAATTTAACCCTCGCATTAAATCTACTGTCCTCTCTGTTTTGATAGGAATCATCCTGAAGCAACCAGGTGACTTACATCGCAAAAACCGGAACTTCCTCTCCACTGGCTTTCGTATGATCAAACTGGGAGTTCCAGAGTTTAGTTATCACCTCCACCCCCACATTGACAACTTCAAAGACAAGTTGATAGCTTCAAAGGGCCAGCCACTACCCATCTGTTCAACCAGTCACCGTCTCCTTTTTGAAATCTTCACTGACTTGATGCTAGGTGAGGTGCCTGATCCTAATTCCGAGAAGGTCAATAAACTATTGGATATCCTCTACATAGCGTTGTCACCGAATCCCATGTTGGCGTTAGTTGGGAATCTGATTCCAAATTGGGTCAAGTCCGCTCTGAGCGACTGGATCGACATGGCAGACTGTCTTGCCAAGGTAACTCGTTATCTCAAAGAACATATCCACCAGCACAGAGAAACCTATGAGGGTGATCCTACAAACCTTATCAATGCATTCTTGCACAAAGAAAAGCTCGAGTTGGAGAAAACCAGCAAGCTAAGAGAGGAGAGTAGCAGTGGAGGGGACAGTGACACTGAGATTGAGAAAGCTGCCATTGGGACATCATTCATGGTGAATGACCAGGAAGAAAATGAGAAAAGCCTTGCAGCTATTTTGTTGGATGTCTTTCAGGCTGGATGCACCAGTGTAGTTGCTTCTTTGCAGTGGCTTTTGCTAGACCTAGCTATTCATCAAGATGTTCAAGACAAACTGAGGATGGAAGTCGACAGAAATGTTGAGCAAAGTAAGTCTAAATGGACAACCTAGACAAGGGTCAAAGTTATTACTGGCACAGCCTTTTATCAGAGCTTCATTTGAGTGGCTAATTTTTTTTTTTAATTCCGAAGTAAACATTGAGCTTTGATTAGATCTTATATCGTTTCGTTTAAAAACTGCTCTTGAAAGTTGTACCTATAAACCGACTAATTTCTCTTTATCAATTTACATAATCAATGTATCTATGGTGTTGATACTCATTATCCAAAAATAAAATACATGAAAAAGATAGCATTGTTAGATTCGAAATTGATCAATTGGAGGGCTGCAACCTAATTTGTTTTATCACACAGGGGTCCGGATGGATATTTTAAACTATGCATGTACTGTGCTTATGATTGAGTTGAAATAGGCAGCAGACCCCATACACTGTCCAGCCATGTTCTGTTTGTAAAAGGTTTATTTGAATGTAACTCCCCCCCCCCCCTATCAATATTTTCCAGGAAACCAGCGCCCCTCTCTCCTCTTAAGGAGCGACAACTTTCCGTACACCAAGGCAGTCATGCTGGAGAGTATACGCCTTCACCCTCCTGCCCCGCTGGGTGCCCCACACTGTGCTGCACAAGACACCAAACTTGCTGGTTATGACATCGATAAGGGCACCATCATCCTCCCAAACTTCCTCATGGCCTTACAAGACTTCAACCAATGGGAAGATGCCTGTGACTTTCGGCCAGAACGTTTCCTCAATGAAGACGGGACCCTTGCAACAAGAGAGACCCTTGGATTTTCTATTGGTAAGTTAATTTGAAGAGACACAACTCTGAATAATTAAGTTCTATGACACATGCTTCTGTAACAATTGTTCTGCAGAATGCCTAACTTCAAACCTGGACCAAACACTAACCATAACCCTCATCTTCAACCTAACTAGAATAACAATAGCAACTCCTACATCTTTGACAAAGCATGGAGCAAGTGTCACTGGAGCTAATAACCTTCATTTGTCCCTATCTTAGCTCCACCTCAAGGGTGCCAAGGTGTTTGCAATAGGATGTAACAACGTTCTGGTTGAAACACCTTTTCACCCATAACATTGCAATATTGAACCTTAAAAGGTATATCAATGGAACTTTCCAACAGGTGCAAAAAATGCCTCATTATGGATTCAGAAGAATTAGAATCACAATTTACATTCTTAAGATTAATGTAACACCAGGAAACACAGATGGGACTGGTTTAATAGTAAAACACAACAAATAGATCAGCTAACAGAGAGCTGTTCCCTCCACAGTATATCATCTCATTAGATCCAGAGAGGCATTAACTCTGTTTGAAAGCATAGGAATGATCACCCTTCTAACTCTCAGCAGACGATATGCCAGTTAAACTACCGGGTAATCATATTCAATTCATTCAGTGTGCATTGGAAACAGACAAAGGATAATGATCGTATTTTAATTTTTTGTCTCAATTATCTCAATTACTCTCTTTTACTTGAAAGACAAATTTGGATGTCTAAAATCATTGTGAAAATTGCCTAAATTACACTACGTTAACAAATATGAGAAATGTTGTTATTTCTGTCTTTTGTCCTCATTCATTCATTCATTCATTTTGTACTTGTTCAGGTCCTCGTCAGTGCCCGGGAAAGCTTTTGTCAAACACGGTGATCAGTTCCATCTTGACCGATGTCATACAAGACTTTACACTTCATCTTCCGCCAGATCACAATTTCTCCCTCAAGGGAAATCCTGGAATCATCTACAATCCTCAACCTTTCTCCATCATTGCTAAGCAACGCACAAGTTGATCCACAGACAGCAATCGCGAGGAACATCTAGGATAATCTATAGAGATTGTGTTACAAGTGAACACTTTCCTGATTTACTCTAGACTTATATCAGTGGTATAGATGTACATGTTTTAATGTATTATCATTAGCAAGTGTATTCAAGAAATTCTTAGAGGTGAAATCTCAGTTTTATGAGAGCATAACCTCAGACTCACTCGTCAATTATGTTTTATTTTAAAGTCTTTTATTGTTAAGAGGACTTTTTTTCTTCTTCTTTTATGTTTAATGACAGTCTCAAAAGTATAGAAGATAAACGTATGTTCTTGCTTCAATAGCACACCTTCCTCTTTGAAGTCATGTGTGCTATTGGAGCAAGAATAATATAATATAATAAAATATAATGGAGAATAGGGATACATTTGCAATTTAGGACTAAATGATCAGAATAGTGATTGAGCATTGTTGCCTTTCAAACAACTTGAATTTGGTAATAATAGAAAAGCCAGAATAAGAGTTTGCAGAGAGTTTGAACAAATAGGAAATTTACGAATGTTTGAATGTTGAGATCACCAAATGTATATGAATCTCAACTTACCCATTTTGTTGTACACTAAAATATCATGAATGTTCAGTTTTCTGACAAAAGGCATACATCACATGTGCTCCAAAAGCAAAAAGTTCAATTTTTTTTTCTTGGTGAAAATGAGAGTGCTGTCAGAAACTGCATCATAATGATGTTGCCAAATTGCCCAATTTGAAACTTCAATATTGTCTGCTCAGAGCCATATGGGCGTTAACTCTTTGTCAAAGTTTGTGAATTAATGCCCTTTTGGCTCTAAACAGATGTTATGTAAAACAATTGCATGTAAAAAGAAAATACCTGATCATACCTTCAGTTTTTCTGTGATTGTTCAAAATTTCATTATATGGTGTCTTTGCTTTACCAGCTTCCTTCACAGCCAGTGGCTATAAAGGTTGTACATGTACTTCCTTTTTCACATTTTAAAACCCACACACACAATAATCTACTCCCACTTTTTTTTGAAGGGTTTCATTGATCATCCATCTAATCAACAAGGGAAGCTAAAAAGCTAACAAGAAAGAAAAAAGAAATTGAATGAAATCATCATTAGGGAAACTTCCTCATCGCCGAAAAAGGGATTTACATATTTATTATGCATTCATTTACATTTTACATTTTAGCTGGATGAAGCAAATATATGCAGTACTTGAGCTAGTTTAATGGCTACAAAAAAAGATATATATTGCATTACTTGCTCTTTATAAGAGTGACTGTTATTGTACGGTTAAATGCATATTTTAACTTTATCTCCATCTTATCTGATTTGACTCATTTCTGATCATTTTAATGCATGGTAGGGTGTGGGTGAAAATCTATGTAAACAGGACGATTGATCATTGAAAAACGAAAATGAACATCAGAAGAATGATGGACTTGTCTTTTCACGATTGAAAGTATTAATTATTTGTATTCAAATCTATAATCCTTTAATTTCAACATTTATTATATTTATGATATTCAACGAACCATTTATGTATTGATGTTTACTCTCATCCAAAACCAGTCCACTATTATTTACTTGCTTGCAGAATAAGTGATATAACATTATTATATACTTGAATTGTTGAGATAATAATCAAATACTTGTTCATAATTTTACAGATTGTAATTCCCTCAGTCAATTTGGCATTAGAGTAACAACCTTATCCACACCATGACAAATATTTGTGAATTTAATCCCAAATCAGACTTTAACAACAAAACAAAAATCATTTACCTTTATATTCTGTTGGTATTTCATGCATGTTTTTGTGATTGTACAAAGTGTGTGTACAGTGTTCAGATTCCAAGTTATTTTCTAATTTTTGTAGTAAGCGCATACCGTTTTCCGCCAACCGTTCATGAACTGTATCGTTTTGAAATACAAACCACAAGCATACTTTAATGTTCAAAATTTCACCGTTGGTCAAACAGTTTTTAAGCGTCAAGTAACGCCTGGCTGAAATGCTCCCAAGGGAGTGGAGGTTGTGCACACTGTGTGTGCGGCAAGTATTGAATCCAATGACCGTAGTAAAATTATATCTTTAAAGCGCTTAGAGACATTTGTATTAATTGCTATATTAAAGCAGAATATCATTATTATTATTATTATAGAATTGCCATGTTTTTCGTGTAAAAGGTTAAAATAGTATCTATGATAAAGTATATCTTATACAAAAGTACAATGCATTGTTTTAATTCTTATTTACCTGCGATATACCTCAAAATCAACTAAGACCCTTGTCAAGAGTGACAAAACCAACAACAAAAGCACAATGACTGTAATTTTACAAGGTCAAAGCTTGTACATCATTATCCATTATTCTCAACCTCAATATCTCTCAGACCACTTTCAGTACCTCACAATTATTTAAATTATTAAAACACACTACTTGAATATTTTGATCTGTTGTACTTTAAATCAATTAAAGTCATACATATAATGGTCTGTTGACACACAATTTTTTTTCTTCAGTGATACATTGCACATATTTAATCATCACTTTTACACCTTACATCTGATTAATACAATCACATTTGATTGACAAAATGAAATAAACCCATATATACCATACACACTCATCCTAAATATGATAGGTATAACCTATCGAAACATCAAGATAGAGCACAAGTACGCCCTTTTTAGGGCCAACCAATCCTGTAAAAATGAATATGTAGTGTTACCGCAAAGTCGCAAACCTTGTCCAAATTTTTTACGAGTTCATGTACATAGTTTCAATCTTCAAAGGTCCAGAAAATACATTTTCAAGCTCAAATTTATGTTCAGAAAACGGCCTTGATCCTAACAGAATGTATATTTTTACTTCAAGAATGTAATCAAATTTGTATCTTTATTTTATTTATTGATATTAAATGACTTCCAATCAATAGGGTAACCACATGTTTTCTGCCATGGTAAATCTATTATTCCTTGCAATTCATTTACATTTCTTTCTCCTTAATGTGCTACAGTCTACTGGAAACACAAACTTTATTTTACAAAAAATAAATGTCGCATCTACTCGTCGACGTTTACATGATTGACAAAATATGAAGTTCGACAGATATTTTTACAATTCATGATTTAAGTCAATAATATAAATGTATTTTTCCATTACAACCCAGTTGTCATTTATGGCTATATATTACTTAAATATCAAGAAAATTACATATTTCCTAGTTGTGACTTCAGCTTTCACTGTATCCACATCTTCAGTAGATAAATCACACATTTTGATTTCTCGCCTTTTTGTATTAAATACAACTCTTCTATTTCTGAATATCCCATAAACACCAGGAATATTGTACATTAAAGGTAAAGGCCGGTTTTGGAAACGCCCCCCTCTCACAAAAATAAAATGGAAGCTCTTATTACCAACCATGTGAAAGAATATGTTTTGACTAATACGTGATGATACAAATTTTACCGGGAAACCGCATACTAATTGACATACAGGTGTGTATTTGGTAAATTATTTTATCTATTTGGACCTAATAGATATCGCACACGTGTCGCGCACGTGTCACGTAGTCCCATATACATCTTTCTGTGTACAGTCCTTATAACTTTACCAAGACTGGACCAAATTTCTTATCATTTTGATGATTCCAGAACCTTGCAGTACACACCAATCGATCGATTCCACAAGATTTCTTTCACAATGCAATGGCATGACCAGAGCTGGTCTTTATCTTCAAGTAATACATGTATATATAACTATATTATCTGTGTTGAGTTGAATACCCATGGATAGCTTGAATGTTTATCTGACATACCATGGATTTCTTAACAGTAGTGCGGACACATTTCCATGCCAATTCCGATTCAGTGTCAAAAAGAATTCCTGCAATCACATATTGAAACTAGATGGAACTTCGACTGCGCGCAGTCGAAAATGATGCCTCCGTCATAGAGCAATTTTACAAACCAAAACAGAAGAAATTTTTCAAATTCAAGTTCAATTGTAATCCATTAACAGGTTTTCAGAATATTGTGATTACAAGCTATTTTTGCATACATAATGAGCCCATGACCTTTGACCTTATGAACCAAGAATCTACTCAGTTCATTGGCTCTGCAAGAAACATACATGACCTAAGTTGGCAGGAATCCATCAATCGGTTCTTGAGATAACGCGATCACGAGCTGTTTTTGCATACATAATGTGCCCTGTGATCTTTGAACTTTGACCTTGTGACCCCTACATCTAATCAGTTCATCGGCTCTGCAAGTAACATACATGACCTAAGTTTGGCAGCAATCCATCAATCGGTTCTTCAGATAACGCGATCACAAGCTCGTTTTGCATACATAATGAGCCCTGTGGCCTTTGACCTTTGACCTCGTGACCTCAAAATCTAATCAGTTTTTTGGCTTTGCAAGTAACATACATGACCTAAGTTTGGCAGCAATCCATCAATCGGTTCTTCAGATAATGCGATCACGAGCTCGTTTTGCATACATAATGAGCCGTGACCTTTGACCTTTGACCTCGTGACCCCAAAATCTAATCAGTTCATCGGCTCTACAAGATACATACATGACCAAAGTTTGGCAGGAATCCATCAACCAGTTCTTCAGATAACGCGATCACGAGCTCGTTTTGCATACATAATGAGCCCTGTGACCTTTGACCTTTGACCTCGTAACCCCAAAATCTAATCAGTTCATCGGCTCTACAAGATACATACATGACCAAAGTTTGGCAGGAATCCATCAACCAGTTCTTCAGATAACGCGATCACGAGAACGGGACGTACGTACGTACAGACGTACGTACGTACGGACGTACGGACGGACGGACAACCCGAAAACATAATGCCTCCGGCTACTTCGTAACGGAGGCATAAAAAACCTGATTTTGAGATCATAGCTAATATCCTCATGATCCCTTTTTCATCTTACAAGATTCTTAGTTAAAATCTTGCCGTGAAACATTAGCCAGAAAAAATGTTTTGAGTACTATGAATTGCTTTCATTTATCACTCCCACTGTTTTCAATAGTGAACATCTCAAACTGCTCATGGGAGACAACTGCCGGCAAAAGCCTTCCACGACAGCACCATCATTTCAAGCAAGATGTCCGTTAATTGTATCTATAATAGACTTGAAGTGATGATAGCAAGTAATTTATGAACAGAAAGAAAAAATAGTACCACTTCAATAACAGTGCTATCACTATAGACACATCTTAAAAAGGCACTGAAGTCTTACTTCAAACTATCACCCCGATTAAATGAAGCAGCTCCCCCTGTCATATTAGGGTAGTATCATTATACAAACTACAAGATTTCTTGATTCAAACCCTGATTATAAAGTCTCTTTAAAAAGACATTTCTTTTCTCTGAGTATTAAATTTCCAGAGTTTTATGAATACCAAACACAAACACAGAGCCATGACAGAACTATGAAATATCCTATTTTACACTCTTTTCAGATTCATAACCTCTTGCAATATATCCCAACTTTGTGAAAACGAAAGAGTTTCAAACACTGCAATACAATACAATACAAAAAATAGCTTGTTAGTCATAAACCCTTTCTGATCACAATTTCTTTGGACATGGCATTATTCGTATGCTTGCACAAAGAAATTGACACACATCTCTTGAACCGTAGCGCTACTTATAACTTCTGGAATGCTGATTTGGCCGGAAATCATCGGACCACATGTGTGGTTTGAAATTTTGTTTAAAATTATTATACTGGAATGTAAAAGCTATATCCAAATGGGGGGTTGGGGGTTGTCACACCAAATCATCTAAATTTGAAGATTCTAAAAATAACGATAAAGGTTAAAGTAACAACATTTTGATTGGGAGTGTTTCATTTTCTCAAAAACTACACCTCTGTTCTACCAAAAATTAAAGACAAGAGGTGCCCCTTGTGACTAATGCCCCGTTTCACACTCCATATTATTAACAAAAAGGGGCTCTTTTTAATTTAAAGATATAATCAGAGATTGGCCCCCCTGTCTTAACATCACTACACAGTCACTGACAGTATAAAAGTATTGCACCTTTTCACACATTCAATTTCATGATATTTACAATAAAACACTCACATAATCTGCAAGCTTTGAAATGAAACCATCCTTGTGCCAATCAACATGACTCTCTTTTCTCCCTGTGATAGGTCTTAACGGTTCAAGTATCATCTGATGGGTTTCACCTGCAACACAAAAGAACATTCATTTTAGAATAATGTCCATCATGATGTCACTGCACTCATAATCAAGATATGTTTCTATGATATTACAAACTTCAGAACATATCTAATAACAAGACAAATGAAAAAATATATCTATAGGAATAAATGTGTATATGTAATTTTCACAATAATAGTTCCAATAAAGGATCAACAGATTAATAATTTATCAACACTCAGCAAAAACATTCTCTTTAAAATGATATGCAATTGGAATCATAACATTCATGCATGAGTGAGTATAGATATTCAACAATAAATGCATCTCTGCAAGAAGATTGCAAACATGTGGTATCTGGCCATCCAAATGTTGATGAGCATTTTAATCTTGTAGAGTCAAACTAAAACAATGGAGAAAAAAAACAGTAACGAGAAACGTGACGAGAGAGGCATCTTGACCATACAATCCTGAGATTATGGTTGACATTTATAGCTCAATCATTCTCATTGTTTCTCATTCTTTGTTTTTATTATTGACCTCGAATATCTTACAGATGCACATGTTCATTAATATTTGAATGGCCACTTACTTTTTTTTTTTTGCTATTTAAAAAAAATAAAACCTTTTAACGGTTAAGTGAATGTGCCCATCCAAGCATGAAAGTATAAAAGTTGATAGTACTTGATGTTGGTAAAGTTTCAATTTTTCTTTAATTTGATATATAGTTCATTATATATTATTGATGGTTTTTATGATTCTTTTGCAATAAAATCAAGATTGTCTCCTTTCTTTTTCTTGCTGATTATAGAATGCCTCAACTTAATGCCATGTTATCTTGAATCAAATCAGTTCACGACAATTAAATGATGGATAATACATTTTTTTGCTGATGTATCTCATACAAGGCTCAAAATACACAAGGGCGGTGGGCGATTCGCCCCTGTGAGCCTCATAATCGCCTGCGTCAGATTGCTCACAGGGGTGATTGCAAAATTAAAAATCACCCCTGTGGAATTATAAAATAAAGATTATCTTTTCTGTTATAACTTTCACACAATATTGAGTTTCAACTTTCAAACCTTAAACCAATGAAATGGAACTATGGAAATTAGGTTAGCGTGCAGGATTTCTCGCTCAAATTTTTAGCTGCATGTTATAACTTGTAAAGTTGTAAGAGGGAAATAATGCCGATAATGATGAAAAAGCTAAGAATTTGGGAGTATTATGGGTACCACTTAATGAATAGAAATTTGTATTTAAAAAGAGCCCTCTTCAGTACTAAAAGAGCCCCCGTGGACAAAAAATTAATTTGAGCCCTGATATCATAACACATTTTCACATACTGTACCTTTCAATGAAGGAGACATGGAATAACATGTCTCATTCATAATCAACTTTGAAAAATAGGGTAATCTTTGCCAACTTCTAATTACAGCTTTACAAGTCTTAATCATACAATATTTAAACTGTTAAATGAAATAACAGAAATCCTTAATTTTGAATACAGCTTAAGAGACTAAAAATAATAAAATGAAAAATAAATTTAAAAAACTCACCTTTTCAAGGAAGATGTCAGAAGCATGTCTAATGAACTCATCTGATGACATGGACCCAGTGAGGCTGGACTTTGCTTCAGTTTCAGCCTAGGATATGATAGACAATAACAATACTTGTTTACAGTGGATTTAAGCCCTGATGTGCCGTAGCCAGCAAACGATACTCAAGAATGGGAGCATTGCAATAAGGATTTTGACACAGAAGATCTACATTTTTCTCCCAGGAACAGAGACATGTATGTTGTACATTCTATATCATCAAAGATATAATATGGCAAATTTATCACTGTCAGTCTGGAAATTTAAATTACGACTATTGTCCAAAACCACTGGGGCAGTACAGAAAGGGTATTAAATTACTGTACAAATCCACTATTTATTCACCATTCCATGAACTTTGAAAAATTTCATTCCATGTAACGGTAAAACCGACCACAGTTTCACATATCTACAATCAGAGTCTATAGATAAAGCTGCCAGTAAGTAAAAATACGCTACATGAATAATAACAACTTTTAAGTGTTAAAGCTAAAAATTGGATTTTCAACAATTTGTTTGTCCAAAGAAATCATGAATGGCACCTTCGCTTTCACAATTTTTGCATTTTCTAACAGAAAAATTGATAATTTTACAACTCAGTGATCCTATTTTCTTTTTCATGAATCAATCTAAAGAAAAATATGCTCATGCCTTTGTCCTGCAGCATGCTTTTCATTGTGTTTTGGTTTTCATAAATGGACAGGAAATTCAGTCAGGATTATATCTGATTGATATTCCTTCTTCAGCTTGAATTGGTAGACTTTGACCATAGTCCCAAGGGGAAGATCAAAATTTTACACCATGTATTGACTAACAATCCAAAGAAATAGGTGCACCTTGTAATATTTATCCAAAACAATTTCCCCAACTGCAATTCTAGATTACAATGGGCTATATTTCACAGCTCCATTTAAAAACTGACATTCACAGAACAAAAAATCAATGGCAATATAACAGAGATACAAATGTTTCTGGAATTCATAGGGATTTTCCCACATCATTTTCAAAAATATTTGTATCTGACATCTTTTGTTAAAAAAAGCCCCCTGCAAGAATGGTGAATGCCACCTATGAAACGGATAAATAAGAGTAAATAATAATACTTCAACAAAATAGAATCTTTTAAATGAACCCCCAACTGCCTTGTTAACGGTGAACTCAGTAATTACAAAGTAGAAAACCAGTTGTTTTGGTATCATATTGTCAATGATCAATGAAATATAATCCAGCTATCAAACATCATAAAAAATGTGAATTCTCCATATTTTTTAAATATCAAAAACAATGTCTTGGATTCTCAAAGTGAAGAATATTCTTGATAACTTATGTCTTTCTGATTTATAGAATATATCAAGCTATCAATCTGACTTGATCCACTTATTAACCAAAAGCTTCAAGAAATAAGTGTGCAGGAGTGGCATGGTGATATTTAGTTCAACCAGCAATGCACTTTTGCTAGACTTTTCAAACAAAGCTTAAAACATGTTAAAAATAACTTGATTCCTTTTTAATTAAAAAAATATAGAAATTGTCAGTAAATTGTTATGTCTAAATCAGAAACTACCAATAGTGAATGGATGTTACAGTCACATTCTAAGAGCTGAACGATTGATTATGTACTCATTGTTTTGCTAATAATATCAGTGATTAATTTCACTAATTGTTTGTGCGTGCTTGCTTCCTTTGAAGTCAAACATAGACAACAATTCCTTATGAGGTATTGCTGAATATAACACAATCAATTCTAATTGAACAATTAAATCTTCCCTAAAAAGCATGCTTTTAGTGAGATTTTTTCGCCACACTTGAACGAAAGTTCAAACATTGATATTTGGACAGAGTCCAAACCTCAATTTTTTTGTAAATTTATGAATGCACCTAGACTCACCTAGATTCAGTGAACGTCATGCCGTTCAATCTGATATTGCGTAAGGTCACAGAAACCCACATATTTCTGAAGTGAAAGAACCTTTTGTAGATCCTATACATAACGTTTCACAATGGGCACTCAGATGAGAGCCCATTGAATTATCTAAATATAAATCACTGATTATGTCATGTATTTCATCTTTTGCACAAGCTGCGCCTTGAGCGTTTGATTGTCAAGTGGATTTGGCGCCAAAAAAATCTTATGTATTATTATTATTATTATTAAAAAGAATCCCAGATAAAATCAGCAACTTAAATAATAATAATAGTGGCTTTTTATAAAGCACATCAGGTCTGCCATGCATGCCACGCATGACGCCCATGCCAATGGAAATGGAAAATACTAATACAAAAGAAGGTACAATATATCAATACAATATTTACATATTGAACCTCAAGCATTATTAAAGGTACTATGTCCCTTTTGCAGCCAACCTCAAATGCTGTAGAACTTTGCAGGAATTATGAATATGTCATGTATGTCCTATTAGACCGCGGGCCATAGATCAAATATGTGGCTTATTTTTCATTTTCGTGCCTCAACTCTTGTATATACCTAAATTTTTGTTACTCAATAGAACAAAAATCATTGAATAACAATTGATAACTCGTCAGTGCAATAAGTTGCACATTAATTAATTATGCTAATTTAAAAAAGTTACAGCGCCCTCTTGTGTTCAAATCTTGAGATCTGTGTTGTGCTAATGGGTTCCACAGGATTTTATTGGACTTGGAGGTTTTGTTTCACCCAGGGAATAACACCCAAGTCTGTCTTGGAATGGTTGGTGTTATATTTTTCTTTATTTAAAGGTTAAGTCCATCCTAACAAATATTTTAGTTTAAATAAAGTCAGAAAAATGAAAGGAAGACGACAGTGAAAGTTTTCAGCAAGTTTTGAAAGTAAGCAAGTTATCAATTTTTGAAGGTGTGATTAATGAAACACAACTCGACAACTCCACAATGTAACTTTTTTCTGCTTCTATTCAGGATGGACTTCCCCCTTTGATTAAACAACAAACAAAAACAATCTTGAAAATAAATAGAGATAAATAAAGAGAGAGATTAATAGAGAGGGGAGAGAAGTGGAAAAGAGGGGGGGGGGGTCAGGAGATAATGGGGACTTTGGTAGACTGTGGTACTTTTATTTATGTATTTATTCATTTTTGTTTTTATTTGTTTGGGGGGATATCAATGTGTGCACATGAGGATGCACATCTTTTAATGAGTATAATCATGGTTTCAATGCATTTTGACTACCAGTATTCATCACTTACTACACAACTTGAACCATCCTTCGGTATCCCATCACAAATATAGCACCCCCCACACTTATACTGAAAACTTCACCCTCTCTCTCTCTCTGGCTGTATGTCTGCCCCCCCCTCTCTCTCTCTCTCTCTCTCTCTCTCTCTCTATATATATATATATACAGTGCATACACACACACACAAACAATCCAATAAATTAATTTACATTAAAACACAATTTGAACAGGTGTCAAGATAGATAAGCCAAAATTTCCATATTCAATCAATATTTTTAATCATCTTTTAACTACATGTATCTCAAATACATTGCAAAATCACAGGAAGTTTTGACAATGGGGTGGGGGGGGGGGCAGTAGACGTAATGCATAGTATGAAGTAGATTCATTGTAAGAAAAATAAATTGTATTCATGATGAGGTACACTTTTCTGGCTCTTAAAGGAAATTTCCAGGCAGTTTTGTTTTTGTTTTTTTCATAACAATGATCAAACTCATTCCTTAATACCAAATCTATTAAACTGCCCCAACAGATTTTGAACAAGTATAAGTCTACTGTACTAGCAATACAGAGAATTAATTCATACAATGACTTTCAAATGTTCAATATCATTGTGTACTGTTAGAGGGAGAAAATCCATCATTGATTCATACAAGGCATGGAAACCAGACATAAATCAACTTCCTTGCTACTTGCCTTTGATGATTTGATGATTTAATTATATTTTTAACAATATTTTCCCTCCATTACGTTGATGACAAAAACAAGAATTGCCAGATACCCACATTTGTACAGCATAAAACATAAACTTAAACGTGAATACATTTCAATTACTAATCATGGTATTTACAAAATTGTGAACTACTTAATCTCAATCCTCCGATAGTGCACAATTAGAATATTTTTTCACAATGGAACAAAATACTTACATGTCCAGTTCAAATCTATACCTACAATGGTACAATGTATTTATTTAGCAGTGAATAGAGGCAAAAAACACATTTATCTCCCGACATCTACAAGTATTTTCTTCCCTTACATTAACATATTGAGAAACAACTTTCAGTGTCAAGTCATGATGAAAAAAAAATACATGAAGAACAAATACTTTCCAGAATGACAAAGGGAATGACCATTACTCAACATGTATCAGGAATTTTCAAAATAAAATATTGGTTCCTGTTTATAGAGCACTTGTTATGCTTTATGACACTTCTCTTTACCTGCATGTAGTAATACCTAGCAACAAAATATGTACTGCTCTGGTTAGATGGGTACCCATTTACATGTACATGTACACCTGAGTGAAACATGGTAACAATGGATTCATGTTATGTTTGTCTAAATGACTATGTACCATAAACAATTGAATGTGCAGTGCAGTCAATAAACCACTACTAGACTTGGGCATCAAAAACATTTTGCTGGAAGTATATACATTTACCTCACAAATACTGTAAATGACTATATATTCAAAGTGGTTATAAATTTTTAAGCCTCATCAATCTCTAAAGTTTTCATATAAATCACATGAACAGTAAAATACAACATCATACAAGTGTGACCTTGTTAAGTGACGAACTGCCATTGAGAGGGATGAATGCTTGGGAAGAAGGATCCTTCCTTTTGCTCTCAAGAACATAATATCCTGGGCAACTGAAAGAAGGCGGGGATGGAGCTCATCAGGCACCTCAACCTTTCCGGAGTCTCTTGGGTCAGAACTTGCCCCAGTTGACCATGCAAGAAAATTAAAGAGTGCAGAAGGCACAATTTTGTCGACTGTGTCCAGGGTTGAGTCATCAGCTGTGGGGGGCCACTTTATTGGGTTAGGTGCATTGACGATGCTGTCTTTAACAACCTGGGCAGCATGGAACATATCCCTCAGGTGATAAGCTCTGGATGGAACTGCATGTGAAGGGTCATCACTCACAGCTTCATTGCACTCGCTTTCTTCACTTGTCATTTCTCCAACTGCATCCTCTACTACCTCCTCAACAGACAGATTTTCAACAAATACAATGTCGCTCTCCACCTTCCTAGAAGGCCTGACAAAACAAAGAGCAGGGTGTGAGGATTTCAATCGTGCTTTCAATCGGTAGGTTTTGAAGGAGGAGGCATCTAATCCTTCAACTCCCCTGACTTCCTTGATGAAGAGTTGGTTCAGCTTAGTCAGCCTAAGGATCTCCTTATTTTTCATTATCCTTTCCTCAATTACCTTTTTGCAGAAACTAGAGTATGACTTATCATATATTACTGTTTGCTGAGTATCCTGTTTATAAGTATTACATCTCTTCACAACTTTTGTATACCTGTAATAGCACGATTTATGGTACCTTACTTCTATTGCAACAAGATCTTTCCCACGTATGTGTAAAAGCAATTGTTCATCTTGCTTTAATAAAGCGGCCTCTAACAGATGCCCCCCATCTTTTCTTTCACAAAGAATTAATTTTTCTACCTTCCGTTTACCAGAAGACTGTTCGCGGATATACTTAGCTCCTTTGCAGATAATGCAATGGACTGGCAATACATGCGGCTTATCAAAGTCATGGCTGGTAGAGGGTTGATTTTCATGGGATACTCTCGACCGCAGCAGTCTCTTGGGTGCAGGGGCATCCTCACTTGCTGACACTTCCTCTGGATCTTCTGTAGATGTCTTCTCAGCATCTGTGGGTTTAACAAGAAAAAGAGAAGGAAGAAAGGAACAGACAGGGGAAAAAATACTGATTAAAACCAATTTTATCAAAATCATTCTGATTTTCTGAATATATAACTCAATGTGGTGTTGGTGTTGAAAGTGTGGATCAAGCTGCTGAACCAAGCTCCAACACTGACTGTACTTGAGAAATAGCTCAATACTGAGTGATGTCACGCCTTTTATGTGATCCACTCACGATTTCAAGCGAAAAGGCTATACAACGAAAGTGAAATCAGTGAGAAATGGCATTCAAATTTCATCAAACAGGATGTAAAATCTAAAATCGTATTTTCAAATCAAAAGAGAAAATGTTATTAATCTTTAGAAAATAGACACATATATAGCTCTGATGATTTGTAAAACATTTTGACTGTAAATTGGATTTCGCTTAACTTTGCTGTGACGTTATCATTTGGTTCATGATCTTAAGATCACCAACACCAACACCGAACTTCAAATCACAAATTTCCCAATCTCTAGGCGATTTGTGTTGGGGAATAGGGAAATAACAAATAAATCGTCAAAGCGAACCATGATACTCGGTTCAGCAGACAACATTCAACAACATATTTTCCGAGGTCAATTCCAACACCAGCCGCATTTCAAGTTCAGTGTTGTGGCTTTTGACACTGAACTTGAAATCGCCAGTAGATCTAAATGTGTAGATGCAGAACAATTATTGCACAATTGCACCTACCGGTGTCTTCTTTTGCACTGCCTCACACACGCACAGATCAAACACTCTCCTTCTCTTCTTTGTCTTTGTACTGTACTGTTTAAATTATTTTAGCAGCATTTAATCATTGTTTATTACCTCTCTTCTTCTGAAGTCTTGTCAATGCTCTACTGATTGTCGTTACGTTGCAAAAGTGTCGGTAACATTCAGCATGATATCCTCGAAGCCGAGTATGGTGCTCCCTAGTAAAAGAAAATGTGAGAGATGTAGACTAATAAATAATTTCTATTAAAGTTCAATCTGCTAAAATACAAGAACTGCTGGACCTAGTTTAAGTAGTTAGGCCTATGTAAATGGCTTAATTTCTTGACACAAGCAAGAGTCAAGAATTAGACTATTTTATAATTTATCTGGAGACGAAAAAAAGTAGAGGGTCTAGACAGTAGTAGTAGGGACAGGGTCTAGTAGTAGTAGATCTAGACCTAGAAAATCTATCCTGTAATCCAGGACCATAGACATAGTAGATGAGAGGTCTAGATCTAGTCTGTTCTCTACTACTCTAGACCAAATTTGTAATTTCTGCTCTTTTTTCAAGTGCAATTTTTATTTCGGGGAAAATGTGAACACTTTTCATTTCATGCAGGCCTAGATATCTAGATCTATACCAATATATTAGGTGATAACTTACCTGCTTGTTGTCGATGACTGAAGACCGACTTGTCCCACACCTTCACTTTCGTGTACGTGTTCTTGCAACTTCTCTGCAACTTCACTTTCTAAACTCTCTTCCACGATTACCCACTTAGCTGCACACTCCTTACACTTTTGATAGCTTTTATCACTAAATGGTATAATCTTGCTCTGAGTATCGATGACATGTATGGAACAGAAAGCGGATTCACCAGCCTCAGAATTGTCCGTCTCACTGGCATCAAACGACTCAGAAGTCGCCATAGTACACAGTGAAAGTCGCAGTGCACAGTAAAAGTCGCATAGGCGTGCGCATAAAACAAAGAATATGATTGGCCAAAAGCCAGTCACTCCACACATCATGCTATCAGCAACGTATTGTGATTGGTCATTCTTACCGTAGAAAGTGAAAAATTGTCTCAAATTTGTTTTTTGTTTTTTGATATTTTCAGAAAATGTGCAAGTTTTGTTACTGACGAGTTTCAGATGTGACTGTAATAAATATTTTTAAACATGTTGACCAAAATACAGCTAGATACAAATTTGAGGCACGAGATGAAAAGAAAATGCACCTCGGCCCGCGGTCTATATCTGTGAAATTTAAACTTGAGCAGTGTCCTCATATTCAAATTATGCAAGGAAACCCGTTTACTTGCTAGACTTCACTGTCAGACACTATTGAGTGACTGACTGGCTTTTTTTCTTCTTTGGTAATAACATACATGAAAAGAGTTGTAAAGGGTACATGAGCATTTGTCTACATCAATAACCCACTTCTTGTGATGGCCAAGATTAAACTGATTGAATCTTTGCGCAGCATAAAACGTATGACCATTCAGTACAATTGTCTGAAAATCAAGACTATTACTTTTGGGCTCTATAGCCCTAAAGTCGATTTGACAACTAATAGTCGTTATTTTCCCACTTGAAGACATTTTCAAGCCCCACCTTTTTTTAGGGAAGTTCTAAATTAGTATTATCTTTCAAATGCAGTTGGAATTTAACTTTTTCATTTTTTTGGCATGCAAATGGGACATAGTACCTTTAAACTAAGAGCATATAAAAAGCATAACTAAACTAGTTTCAGGAACAATGACAAAAATAGCCTAAGATTAACCTAAAATAAGCACATATTTGAATTAGCTATGACAACATATTCTTATTCTTGTATCTCACAAAAACAAAGCCATACAACATTATTAGTATTAGGATCTGCATGTATATAAAAACCATACAATATTAATTTTATTATCAAAATCAGGCTGACTAGTGAAATAACAAAATTCGATAGTCACGCTATATTGTATTGACAGTTGAAGTTCCTGGATGACAGAGCAATACAAAAATAATATTGATCTGTGATCCGGGTACTGCACTGAAGATATTAAATACACTGATTTATTGTATCACTTGGAAGCCTTATATAGATAACAATTCGTCGCTCGCATCTCGAACCGTCCTCTCCGCGCATTTCCAAGCGAAAGTCAGTTTTGCAGAAAACGCGTTTAAAAAATAGGACTTTTTGAAATGGTAATTGTTAGACTTTAGAACAGATTATATTAAAAATCAATGAGACTACTTGAGAGCTTAGGTCTTAATGTTGTATACAGTGTGTTTAGATTTTCTTGAGTTGGAGTATTTTTGCTACAATTGTTTTGTAAACAGAGAGGACGGTTCGTGGAAAAGATAAAATGCGCGATCACGCTACGCGACTACTTGCGCGCAACCTGACAGTGTACAGAATGAATGGAAGGCTCTGGTACTGCGCGCAACAAAGGACGGTTCGTGGTGCAGACAAATCCTATAATCGGTGAGCGGACGTTTTGTGATGATTACGGTATTACCTAACCAAGCTTATTCACGCTCTGAAATTTCTACAGGATGTAGGTAACCATGAGTACATGCAATAAATGGAAAAAAACGAAAAACGAAAAAATAGCAAATTTTGCTAGAGAGGACGGTTCGTGGTGAGAGCGACGAATTGTTTATATCCTGCATCAAAAAAATAATTTCCCCCAAAATGATAATAATAATCAAAAGACTGATTGTTGCTACGGCAGGCACCTAGTGACAACGAATTTGTTTGATAAAATTATGGAAATGCAAGCACTAGTTTAGACAAACAGAACTTTGTCATTCCTTGCTTATTTTTCCTGATTGAGGTGTCATATAAAAGGGCAGAACCTCAACTTTCTAGAAATGTAATCTTCTCCTTGAAATTCAGATACCGTCCGCCAAATGACTTTTGGTTTCCTCTCTTCAAATTCATTGTAATCATTCATGCGTGAAATATGCATCATATGAGTTGCATCAATGAAAGAGGAGGATCTAAGCTTTCCAAATATGTGTCATTTAGTAATTATAAATGTGACTAAGTTATGATAAAACATCAATAATTCTCGGTATCGTTTTTTCTGTGACGCACTGTATACTGTATATATTTTTTGTTAAATGTTATCAACATTTTAATTTTAAAACTTTTTTTTACATTTTTAATTTTAATTAAATGTATTGAATAACAAAAAATTATCTAAACAAATTTTGTGTTTATTTTGATCATGTGACACATATTTAACCATTCAAGAACCAATACATTTTCGATGCAGGATATGATTTACACTATTTTATACCAATTGCCATGTGGCTCTAAAAATACTATTAATAAAGACTTACTCAGGGTGAATATAGAATATATCGTCGTTGGGGTGACAAAACCTTGTATCTCAATTTTTTGAGATTTGGATTTTTTTGCATAATTTTGTACCTAATGGCCTACGACACCACCTGATAAATCTATGAAACGCCTCCTTCTCGGTTTTTTCACAAATTCCACACAAACACCCTTAAACTAAACCTCGCAACTTTAACCCCCTTTGAAGTTGCAATGACAAAACCTTGTAACATAAGAATCGTAATTCCTTTTCCTTGTAACTCACACACGGCCTAACAGTACCAAAGTTAGTGTATTCAAATCCTCGTAACTCATTTAGAGTTGGAAGTAAGAACTTGTATCTCAATTTGAATAAAAACTAAAAACTTGTATCTCAATGTAGATAAACACAAAAACCTTGTAACTCACTTTCAAATATAACTAGATGGAATTTTGACTGCGCGCAGTCAAAAATTATGCCTCCGCCATAGAGCAACTTTACAAACCAAAACGGAAGCAATTTTTAAAATTCAAGTTTGATTGTAATCCATCTGTCGGTTTTAATAATAATGCATTCACAAGCTATTTATAGTCATACATAATGAGCCCCATGACCTTTGACCTGATGACCCTAAAATCTAATCAGTTAATTGGCTCTGCAAGATACATATATACATGTCTTGAGTTTGATAGTAATCTGTCTATTGGTTCTCATTATAATGTGATCACAAGCTATTTGTGCATACATAATGAGCCCTGTGACCTTTGACCTCATGACCCCAAAATATAATCAGTTCATTGGCTCTGTTAGATACATACATGACCCAAGTTTGGCAGGAATCCATTGACCGGTTCTTGAGATAACGCGATCACGAGCTATTTTTGTAGACATAATGAGCCCTGTGACCTTCGACCTCGTGACCCCAAAATCTAATCAGTCCATTGGCTCTGTTAGATACATACATGACCCAAGTTTGGCACGAATCCATCGATCGGTTCTTGAGATAACGCGATCACAAGCTATTTTTGTATACATAATGAGCCCTGTAACATTTGACCTCCGACCTCGTGACCCCAAAATCTAATCAGTTCATTGGCTCTGTTAGATACATATATGACCCAAGTTTGGCAGGAATCCATTGATCGGTTCTTGAGATATTGCGATCACAAGCTATTTTTGAATACATAATGAGCCCTGTGACCTTTGACCTTCAACCTCGTGACCCCAAAATCTAATCAGTTCATTGGCTCTGCAAGATACATACATGATCCAAGTTTAGAGAGAATCCATCAATTGGTTCTTGAGATAACGCGATCACGAGAACGGGACGTACGGACGTACGGACGGACGTACGTACGGACGGACGTACGGACGGACGGACAACCAGAAAACATAATGCCTCCGGCTACTTTGTAGCGGAGGCATAAAAACAATTATTTTACTGTATTTCAACAATGACATTAAAAATTGTATAAATATTTCAGTTTTAAAAAGAAAGGATGGTGTCACAGCACTACATTTGTTGAGACAGGAAAGTTTTATTTTATTTTTGAGATACGAGGTTTTGTCACCCCACCGACGATATGTAGAAATTGGATTCAGAATACCGGTAAGCATATTCACAATTATGCAAAGGGCTAAACAGACAGGCAATTCGAATGGAGATTACAGTGTGATTTGTGATTACAAGTGCATCACTATAATGTATACAGGGCAAACACTTGAAACTAGGTAACAAGGTCATGAATTTGCCCCCCCCCCCCCCCCCCCCCGGCCTGCTGCTAGTAGTACTGATATCTCTTATTAGTCAGCAATTTACTAAATTGCTTCTCTCTTTCTAACTGCATGACTTTTCTTGCAGCAAATAAATGCTATCATGTAACAGGGTAAGAGCCTGCACAAGTGGAGTGAGTAAATCATAACTCATCATATCACGAGCAGGGGACAAATATGCTGTAAAGTGCTTTGATCAATAGGGACCCCCCCCCCCCCTTCAAAAGGGTAACCTACATTGAAGTACAATGTATTTGTAAGGTAGATTACTTAATCAGGGGGGGTGTTTCACAAAGATCCTAAATTGAACTTAACTCTAAGTTTGACTTAAAAATTATGGAGAGCTATTTGTAGCCTTAAAATAAAATATAATAAAAAGTGATAAATTCCACATCAAGAACATGAAATCTCCTTGATAATAGAAAATATGAATGATTTGAATCAACATTTTATGCCTTTTAAAATAACTTTTACAAAATGTTTTCATAGATGCTAATGGCTTTTCATAAACTTTAAGTCCGATTTAGAGATAAGTTCAACTTAGGATGTTTGTGAAACACCCCCCAGGGAAAGAATCACAAGATTTACGCCTGCAATCCTCCATACCTCTTCTAAGCAGCCTAATATCTGAGCTTCATTCAACCTAGCTCCAGCTTGAAGTATTCTGCAAGCAAAATCAATAGCAAAAAAATTAGTTGCAAATAACCCATACAGGGCCAGGAATAATTACGGCCAATGATAGCATGAAAATACAATGAATATGAGAATATAACATCATACTTAATCATACAATTTCAATCTAATTTAATTCTAACTTTTGATCCTGTATGTTAATTCTTAAAATATGCTGAAATTATGCTATGGTTTACAACTTCAAGGTGAATTGGAGTAAAGGGAGTGAATTTTCTTCAAATTGCCTAGGTCACAAATACACCGAGCCCTGTACGATGTTCCCTACCCGGCGGCTTGCCGTGGATTTTAGAGACCGTACAGGACTTTTATAACCTTCTCTTATGGTATTCTTTGTTTCTTCCTTCTATCATTTTCTCTCTATCTTTCCATATATTATTTTCTGATTTTTTCTTTCTCTTTCTCTCTTTTATTACTTTGCCGCCAAAGACACAATCACTTTTGATTGAAGATCGCTTCCTAGACCGCTTGTCTGTTCACACTCACAGTTGGACCGATCTAGCCTGGATCGGTCTAGGAAGTGAGTGAGAACGGGGTCTTACTTTGCTTGTGTGATTAGAATTCAATTGCTGAAACTTTCTATCTCTGACAGTGAGAGCAATATTGTTTTTTCAAATTTTTCCCTTTTTGTAAAAATAAGAAATGAAGAATATAAAGCTATTTGTAACTTGTTTCCAGACAAAGAACGAAAGAATGAAGAAAAAAAAGGGGGGAAAAAAAGAAGTTCGCAGCACTCCTTCTGACCTCGAGCTCTTTCGAATCCATATAAAACTGGAATATTTCTTTTTCACAGATCATGCCCCAGGAACATTCTACCAGGTCGTTTCCAAGAAAAGTTGCTTTGTTAATGGTGTTCTCTCAGACACCATCTCATGTTTTCCCATTCAATTACAACAATGAAAAATATATTAGCGTGACTTGCAGTTACTTTTTCACAAATTGCATATTTGCCACCGTCATGAAAAATATATACCTTGTTTTTATTTTAACTGATGGGCTTGACAAGAAGATGCCTTCTCCCTGTAGGCACTCAAGGTTTTATGGATAACATATTACATGTATCATAGGTCCTCCCAAAAGAGAAGATCCTCCTGAGTATATACATTTTGAAAGAAATTAAATTTTATGTGTTGAAACAAATGGAAGAGTTGTTTGGCACTACATCAAAGTAACATTAGTCATGTCACTGGTTCAGCAACTTAGAAATTACCATGTCTAGAGATTAATACTTTCAAATATACCCTTTCTTACGTCCACTTCATTAAAACTTTCATCAATCGACTTCTCTGCTTTCTTTTAGAGCAACTAGACATTACGGTGAGATCTCACTTTAAAGGCAAAGACAGTGATTGGAAATGCCCTAACTTCAAAAAATGAAATGGAAGCTCTCATTACCAATCATGTGAAAGAATATGTTTTGACTAATACATGATGATAACAAATTTGCCGGGAAACCGCCTATTAATTCATATATTTGGTAAATTTGTTTCTCTCATGGTCTGTGAGAGATATAGGGTAGTCCCATATACATCTTTCTGTGTATAATGCTTGTAACTTTACGAAGAATGGGCCAAATTTCTTATCATTTTGATGATTCCAGAACCTTACAGGTGCTAGATGCTAGATGCTAGATGATCAACCTTTTCTGATCGATTCCACAATGTTTCTTTCACAATGCAATCGCATGACCAAATCTTTACCTTTAAGATAGTTCCAATAAAGAAACACTACCGGTATTCAAGACTACAGGTGCAGGTCACACTCTGTACCATGCTCCTCTTGTTGACTTTGTTTGAGTGGTGCGTACATGCATACGCAAGTGTGTGTGAGCGTGTGAGTTCGATCATGGGTTATGAATTGTACATGTATTAAGTTAATAGAATTATGTTATTATGATGAAAAAGTATCGTATTTTGAAGACTTTTTTTTACTGTTTTGAAAATGAATGAAATAAAATTTTTAAAAATTACGGATAAACATAAAGTATGCTTTTTTTGTTTAATATCTACCCCAATCCAAGAAATTCATTTTTCACCACTCTCTGAAAAAGGACATTTATTTTGATAATCAGTAGGCCTATATCTTCAACTAAATTTCCGAAAAAGGGATGAAACAATAGAAAACACAGCATGACATGGAATGAGTGAAATGCAAGAAGGATCATTGTCCATTTTCCCCCTCATCCTCACCACAAAAACAAAAAAAATGAATGTAAGAAAATGAAATAGTAAAGTGCATTTTTATGAGGAGGGGGCAAGTATTTGGATACCTCTCCACTGATGAAAGCATTTTTAAATTCACTCTCATGAAATCAGTCTCACTTATAATATCTTTATAATAACTGGAATGAATTTGAACAAGGTTATCACAGATTGCAAGGTGATCTAGCAGACATGTCTGGTTCCTGTAGGCCTCATTCACATGTGATGGGTAAACCAAAAAGTACATTAAACATAACCGTGGCAAAATACAATGACATCAGCATAGTGCACATTGAATATCTCAATCAGAATTTTATAACACACAGATCAGAAAATACAAATCATGGCCTCAACTACCTGCAGTCTTGATTTTTTAAATATTTTTGTGTCTTTTAACTTTTAAATCTTTATTTTCCTCAGCATTTTTATTGTTGACATGGTTTGCCATGTTTACGTGTGAACAAGGCATTGATTTCCGACCTACTTTGTCTACCTCACAGTCGGACCCTGGGAGCTTACACAAAACATAAAAGGAAATACTATCAAATAAATACCATCTCTCACTGTCAGCTATTTTTTTTAGAAAACTTGGATAGAGTCCAAAATTGAAACGTGTGACTTCTATTGCTGAATTCCTTTGCGTTCCTAATAATACCCCTGCTACAAATTGCATACTTGTCAAAGGGAACGTGTAACAAAAGAAGACGAACCCACTCAATACAAACTTCCTAGGCCAATTCCAAGAAAAAGTATATTGTTGATGGTGTGATAGCGTGCAACTACGTTATCTGAAACACAAGCCTCTCTAAAGAAAAATTGTTGTAAAGAACATTCAAACATTTGGTGGTGGTGGTGGTGGGGGGGGGGGGGGGTCATGGTTGTTATCCTGAGATAAATCAAGCCCCCTAGCACCTACCTTTCAGAAAAGGGGTTGCTGTTCACTACATTTCTAACAAGCAAAAAACAAAAAAAGACAGCCAACAAAAAAAGGAAAGATTTTTCTTTTCAGATCAAATGAGTTCAAGATTTTTCCTCCTATATTCTAAACCAATTAAATGAAAAATTCAACCATTTTCAAAACTATTTAAAAAGGATTTTGAGCTGTAGCCTGTACTCATTTGTTTGTTTTAATTCTAAAGCTACATGTAGATGAATTCAGGTAAATGTTTCTCCATACATGAGAAGAGCTCTAAACTGAAGGCCCATTAGGAAATAATTATAGAATTTCAAAAGATTTGGGACAGACTCATTTACTTGCAGAATGCATGTATCTGTCTGCCTAATGCCTAATGCCTAATAAAGGACCAGACGGCAACTTAATTCTTTACCAACTCCCAAAAATATTTCAATAGTTTTTAAAAACTTGTGCTACATCCACAATCTCTGAATATGTCTCCTAGTCATGGACTTGTGCGATATTGCACACAATAAAGCACAAATATTAAACAAGAAAAATGTGACTGCGTTTTCCTACTCTCCTATATGCCTCTGCCCTAAATTCAGTGTACTGTAGGAAATGGATGGAATTATTTGTGACATATCACAATGACAACAAAAAGCCTATGATCAAATGTCAGCTGACCACTATGATCTTGAACTTCAAGCCCCAAACATATTTGGATCATCTTCCTTTAGTAATATTGTTACCATTATTGATGCTCAGACCTCAGTTCTTGACATATTGGGATAATAAGGGTAATACCTCATCTCAGAAATTGACCTCTTTGACCATTGACCTATTTAACCAAAATCTAATTAGATCTTCTTCCTATGGCAATACATATTATGCACAAGTTGGAGCCTCATAAATATCTCTAGTGGTTCTTGAGAGATCGTGATAACGAGGCAAATACCCGGAATTTCATAAGTTGACCTCTGGACCTTTGACCAAGTTACTCCAAAATCCTATTAGATTGTCTCCCTATGGTGATACCTACTATCATCAAGGAAGTTAATATCTCAACCGGTTCTTGAGATATCATGATAACGAGAAATCGGGATGTATGGACAGACAACCCGCAAAAACATGATGCCTCTTTAGCTGGCACCACCTTCAGTGGGCGGAGGCATAAAAAAAAGGGGTTGGTTCATAGTTCTATTTCCTTAAAAATCGACCTTGCGTTATTGGAATGCTTTGGTGCCATGACCGTTCCCAGACAGCAAACAACAGAGAAGGTATGTTAGGGGTAGGCGCCAAAAGTAATTACACGCAATGTACTGAGTGTGTAACAACGCTCATATTGTATTGTCCTCCCTCCTCTGAAACCGTCCATGAAGGCTCATGACCATATCTACTTAACACACGGGAGAACTTGAGAAGGGTTGCTTTAGTAAAGGTTGCGTGACTGGGCTCTCAAATTCAGTTGCCACACACAATGGGTTCTTCTACCCTTTTTTCTTCACAATAACAGACAATATAATACCTTCAAAGGTACTTTTATCCACTTGCAAACTTTTATCGATTGCAACAAGATTTCCTTTACAGTACTTTAATCTTGCTGTTCTTCATACATGCATATATGCTATAGATAGACTCAATAACACATTCATTGACATTAAAAGGAATTATGAGTTCTTGTGAAAAATCATTAGTTGAAATTTATTTTGAATAGTCTATAGAATTAAATAATTGTGACAAAAACATTCAAACATTGTATGTAGCAAAATTAAAGCAAAGGCACATTTAATGCATATATAGTGCCATTCCATCAGTCTTGATCATTTAGCAGTTAAAAATTCACAATAACAGACAATATAATACCTTCAAAGGTACTTTTATCCACTTGCAAACTTTTATCGATTGCAACAAGATTTCCTTTACAGAACTTTAATCTTGCTGTTCTTCATACATGCATATATGCTATAGATAGACTCAATAACACATTCATCGACATTAAAAGGAATTATGAGTTCTTGTGAAAAATCATTAGCTGAAATTTATTTTGAATAGTCTATAGAATTAAATAATTGTGACAAAAACATCCAAACATTGTATGTAGCAAAATTAAAGCAAAGGCACATTTAATGCATATACAGTGCCGTTCCATCAGTCTTGATCATTTAGCAGTTAAAAATTCAAACACCTATAAGATCAGGGGGCTGTTTACAAAGATCTTAAGTTGAACTTATCTCTAAGTTGGACTTAACAATTATGGAAAGCCATTAGCATCTATTAAAATATTTTATAAAAGTTATTTTAAAAAGCATAAAATGTTGATTCAAATCAATTATATTTTCTATTATCATGGAGATTTCATGTTTTTGATGTGGAATTTATAAAAAGTCTAAAATATCTAAATTTTCTCTTTTGAATATATTTTGTTTTAAGGCTACAAATGGCTCTCCATAATTTTAAAGTCCAACTTGGAGTTAAGTTCAACTTAAAGATGATGTTGAGTTCTGGTCATGCGATTGCATTGAATTGCATTGAGAAAAGGTTGATCATCTAGCATATAAGAATTTGTGTGTATTGCAAGGTTCTGGAATCATCAAAATGATAAGAAATTTGGCCAAGTCTTGGTAAAGTTACAAACACTGTACACAGAAAGATGTATATGGGACTACACGAACACGTGGCGTAAAAATCCTACCCCCGAGTTTTACGATGTTACATGACATAGTTAGAATATGAAGGCATTTGAAGAGCCATGCTTTTCAGGGAACATGTCTTATCTGATGTTCTTACACACTTGCATAATATAAATGATAACGCTCACAAATTATTTTTCACCTCTTCCCAGAACTCAACCTTCTCTTTAAAATTGTTATGAAACAGCCCCTATGTTAACTATGGTTCACTAAGAATTGTTCGTTGCCCTAGTTGCTATGCAAAGTTCATAAAGGCAAGTAATGTATGCAGTCATATTCTTTTTTTCACCTTGTCATTGCGTGACAGCAGGTGCCATTGCAGCATTATTGTAGAGAGTATATTTGCACGAATGACATAACAAAATAACTTGATTTTTGTTGTTGCCAATTTAAAGCTTGTTTACACTAACAATAGATGACGAATGCTTGGATGAAAGGTTCCAGCCAGGAGGGTGTCTGGGCGTCCAAAAGACACTTTTTGTTGTTGGTGGTGGATGCCCTATATCTTTTAAAATTCACTTTTATTAATGAAAACACACAGAGAGAGAGAGAGAGAGAGAGAGAGAGAGAGAGGGAGATCATTTTTCTTGCAGCATTTGGGGCATGGGGGTTGAAGTAGAGCTACATGTCTGGTATATTGAGCTGTCTCCAAACACAAACTACAAGAAGTTCCGCAGCAGATTCTAACAGCAGTATGAACAGACTGAAATCTAGAGCTCTCAATGGATAGAGGAAGAAAAGATCATCTAGAGCGTGGCCTTGATAATTTTTAAAGTAAATACAAGTACTGGTAAATTCCTTTGCAAAATCACTCAGACAGCAAACTGTATACTTCTGAGCTCTAGAGGGGGTAGTTGAGGATGAAAGAGACTGGAAGAAAGAGTCCTACTAGGATTTCTTTATGAGTGATATACTGGTCCCATTCATGTCGCAAGAATCATTTCTTTCCAATAACCAAATTCCCTTCTGATCTGCATGTAATCACTTCTCAAAATGCAAGTTATGCATGAAAGAATGCATGAAAGAGAGACTAATATTCATTGTATTCTATTAGCATCATCAAAGATAGAAGGGAAATTCCTTAAACACAGTCTGATATGTCAATAAAAAGGCATTGCTTTTTGTAAATGAAACACAAACAGCATTAGAACTAGATGAATGCAAAGATTCATAATGGTCATGTCTACATGTGAAATATGCCCCGATAATGCTTATCCTCGAAAGAAAAAAAAATCCCAATATCTTTTCACTTTAATCGGCATGGGAGGGGAGATAAAAAACCATCGCACAATTTGTGTAGAGGCAGCATGGAATGATTAATCCATTTATTGCACAATTATTTCATTAAATCTATCACTAAATTATACTCCACAGGATCACAATAATGAAGATTATTCATGAAAAGTCAAGTTTCAGCATTTATTCCCTAAACTTTCAATATCTCATGGTTCATAGTGAAATAGTGCTGAAACACGCATAGGCTAGGACAATGATTGCATGTGCGCAACCCTTGCACTATACTTGGGTAGGGGGTTCATGTTGCTGGAGCATGCGTTGGATCCTCTGTTTCAACCATTCATATTTCTGGACAGACTAGGAAGCAGAGTACACAGATATACTTACGAGATAGGCTCCGTAGATGTGGTTGTAACAGATTCTTTGAGCTCTTGTAGAACAGCTTCACAAAGAATCTGCGGGACCTGACCATTCGATTGCGAGTCCAGACACGCATGCAAACCCTCTGATTGTTGCAAGAAATCTATGAATAGTAGATGCGAGAATTAAAAAGGAAACGTTATGAGGCAAGAAAAAGACTTAAATTTTCGATAGCAAGGTAACTGCTGTCATACCATCATTTGACATTGTCTTAATCATATTTCTTGCCACTCAACTTTTTATCTTCTTATAGTGATATATTGATCCATCCTTTAAAAAAATAAATGCAAACTTTGGCTTAATTTTGTTAATATTTTAAAGCAACAACCAATGAATATTGGTACACACTGAGTAAGTCAAACGTTACAATCTTGTAGATGCATACATAAACAGGGCTGTATTGTTTATGTATTGCTTCACTGATATGAACAGTTAGTGGGTAAAAGAAGAGTTTTAACCAATGCATATCTGTAATGCTGCTAAACAACTATCTTTGTGAGAGCTCCTGCTAGTCTGGAAACTGGTCTGAATGAACAGCCTCTCCAAACATGTTAATATCTTGCATTAGATATATTACCTTTGAGTACAAATGCAGTCAGTATGCCGTGGTGAAACACATCAAGCGGAATAAATTCATGGTCTCTTGGGCTTATCTTCTTCATAACATCATCTTCTATAGTTTCTGGAACAAACCTGAAAGATTGTGGAAAAGAATGTGATGATTGCAATCACGATGGCAACGTTGAGATTGATTATATGGGGTATAGATGACGTTTTTAATGTGTGGATAAATATAAATCATGATTATAACCCTTTCCCTTACTTAAACTTAATCTAATCACATCCATGATCATTATTTCATCACATAATCCAGTAGCTGTAATTATTCCCAATTCTCTTATTTCTGCCCTTTAATAACATTTTATGATACCATTCCATACAATGCAATTAAAACATCAGATTAGGAAAGATATAATGTATGATTATCTCTTAAAGACAGGCTTTCTTGATTCTAATTTAGGTTGACTTGAAAAAATGTATCAAATACTGCAAAATCTCTTTCAATTCTTGCTACCATTCATTTTTCTTACTCAATGGATATATTCACAACTTTAATCAAAATCTTAAATTGTAGCCATAATATTTTGCTATGAACTTATTACCAAATGATACTAAATTGTTTGCCCATTTCTTTTCTTCTCTATTTTTTTCCCTTCCTAAACCTCTTGCAAATCAGTAAAAAAAAATGTTAAGCTTTAGTATCCTGACCTCAAAATTGTCCGCAGCAATTCCTTGTATGCTGATCCAGTCAAACCAAAGGAATGTTTAGAACCTGTAATAAAAGAAAGAAAAAAAAAGAAACGTTTAGGAAAGCTATCTTTGCAAAATGGCTGCATTCACATCGATTGTCTCAATTCTGCCATTAACTCAAAAAGGACTAAATTAGGGGTAAATGGTTACTGGTTTCCCCCACAGGTCTGCATTGTATCTGCCTACAACGCAGCAATGAACGCATCATGTCAACACCTATCAATATTCTAAAACTTTGTTGCAAGTATTTGTTTCAATTTTGTTGTTGGTGACTGGTGATCTTGGAAGTTTCAGCCCATTCCATGACACTAAATACCTCAGTCACACCAACACCAGTCCAACAACAGATAGCCCAAACAAAAATGACTTTACCAAGATTTTCAACAAAGAAGAAGGTTTGATTGAAGTTGGTTAGTAATCAGTAGTGACTGGAGTAAAATGATAAAAATTGTTTTCCTCCATATCTTTGCCCCAAAGGGCAATTTTCATTTTTGTAACAAAACAAAAAAAATTCACATTTACATTGTATTTGTATACATCAATCAAATACATGTTTCAACATGAGCCATCTTAAAGTGAACTCATTTCCCCCCCCTTCAATTAAAACATAAATGTAGTGCTCATCCTTCATATAGCATGTCTTTATCATAAATTATTAACATAACTAAAATGTCACCCCATCAGACAAATGTTACCCTATGAACACTTGCAGAGGGAAAAGAAGACTGGCTCCACTTACTTGACGGTGTGCTCAAGATCTGATATGCTGTGGCTACATTATCCTCAAATGCCAACCGACTGTGATGAGTGAGAACCAGGACTTGATGTGCCCTCACCACTCGATTCCCCTTCTCCCGGATACTTTCAAAGCTGAAAAACAAAAGCAAGGACAATTTTGGTGAATTAATTTATTTTTTGTTTCAACGAGCCAGAACTTTATGACGGAACAATGAGTTACAAGTATTTCTACAAAATCAGGTGGAGATGGTTTGATACTATAGAACCTCATATTTCATGGAATTTTGGTTTTTGTGGGATGGCAGTCCCCATTAAAGCTAGAAGGAATATATGGTACAAAATAAGCTCCTGCCTACACTTATGATTATGATTAACAAGTTTGAATTAAGCACTTGTGGTAACATTAAATTTTTTATTAATTCATGCTTATTTACATGTACGTATCATACATTACAATCTGTCATATGAATTGTCATATTTTCTATATAAAAGCCCTCAAATCAATTAGTAAGAAAACTTGAAACATACAGTATTACATGAAGTAGAAACAGGTACTAATAGACTGTAATTACCGGTAAAGATAATACCGGTAGGTATACAAAAGTGAAAAATAACCCAAAATCACATTTTAACTAAATACCACCTTGCATTATTGTAATATTATAAACATTCATGAAGCCAACACTGGAGCTCTCATATCACATCTCTATCTTCACTCCACCAATTAATGACATATATTCATCTGATTCATACTTACTAGCTTGCAAGGAACTGTATGGGATCCTCTGGTCTGTTAGCGATAATCTTTGAGAGGGAATCTCTTACCCACTTTCCAACATGACTTCTCTCTGTGAACATGAAAGATAACATCATGCAGCTAAGTTAAAGTACAGTACAAGATGAGAAAATTTACTCTACAGACTGCATTTTGCAATTTGTGCATAGCCCCAGATAGATTCCAATCACTAGCTAAGTCGTTCATTATGCAGCTGAACCACTCTACATAGGCGTAACGTTACAGGAGATGATGCAACTACTAATTTTTTGTAATGAATTTTTACTAATTTTCTTCATATTGATATTATTGAGAGATCGATAATATATATATAATTCATAGATCATATACAAAATCAAAGTTTGCATTAGACAAGACATATTAGGCTAGAACCATTTAACGAAAAATTGATAAAAACTTATACAATTTAAGCATTTAACTTTTAAGTGATTTTCCATATTTCACAATATAAACGTGAAATAGAAAGGAATATAAAATAGGGCATTTTTTAGCAAATATCCTTTTGGCTGAAAAAGTGTCATGTGACACTCAATAAATTGTTGTATAGTCAAGATCGTGCAATATTTATATAACAACCTTTTTTGCATGGTAACACATGTACAAAAGTGAAGTTTTGTTTTTTCTTTTTCTTTTCATTCTTATTCCTTGTTTTGGTCATCAAAATTAAAAAGATAGGATATTGGAAGAAGGAAAAAAAGGGGAGAGAGGAGCCCATAATTTGTATACCAGCTGTGATCCACATTATAAATTTCAAAAAGAGAGAAAAGGGAAAATTAAAAGGAAATTAATATTAAAAAGAAACTAGGCATTGGTGATTATATAGTCTGTTCTTGACCGATTGCTAATACAAAAAACCTAACAAAAGCGCATGTATCTCTCCCTGGTCTGCATATGTATCATTGTTTGCGTTAATTAATTGTCTATAAGCTGGGAGCATCTCACGTGAAGATCGACACCCTGGATTTAATCAAGTCCAAAGGATCGCAAATACCCTCAACCTTATCAAATAATGCATTCATTTCGTTGTTTAATTTATATGTTCGTCTCCACATTAAGAAATCCCATTGTGCCATCATATTTCAATCTCATTCTCATTCTCGAGCTCATATATGCAGCCTGAACGTGGCCATCAACCCACCTCCTCCTGAAGTTATGGTACGAATGAAATGTTGTTACCGGTATTATAAAGGTATTTCAAAGGGCATCACCTTTTTTGAATATCACATACATATTCCTACATACATGTACCTAATAATATTTGAGACCACAGCATTGTTATTACCCAAGTACTCTCGTCTGCTTTCTAGGTTTTTATCATCTGATCTTCCGGCCATTTTGAAGAAAATAAATTTAGCTTGAACTTGAAGTTGATGTCTCTTTTTTCTCCCTGGTCCTGGTGGAGGTCTTGATTCTAAATTCCTCCTTTGCCCTAATAAGTGATGGCACTGATCTTCAGTTCGGTCTGTTTCTTACTAAAGTTATAATTCAATTCAGGTACAGGTTAGGTTGTCAAGACGATGTGATGCCACATTGCTGGCTTGTCGGCACGGCGACAGGTCCCGGTACATCGGCTGAGCTGGAACATGGGAGGCTAGGAACGAGCCCCTGGTGTGTAAGGAAGCGCGGCGGAAATTCGAATGTGTAGTGCAGTGGTAGCGGAACTTTGGGTACCGGTAAAGCGCTCTTGCCTCTCGTACTAGTTTTCACCAAGTCACAGGGACTGAAGCGAGCCTATTCATATTTCACAAATAAGTGGCATTGCCAAATTTATGTGTGTAAAGATCGCATCATGTGCTGCAGGGTGTTCCTTAATTCCTATCATAAATTATTATTTTATTTTCTATATTTACTTTTTTTATACTGGGCAAATAAAATCAATCAGTCAATCAACCAATTCAACATTATGTACACTTTATTTATGGATAATTCTTTACACAGTCACAGGAACTCTTTACTAGGCCCATGCACTAAGGTGGCGCTCCTAAGGGGTGCATGGGAGGGGGCATATATGCAATGCCCCTCACTTTTTCAAGTACCCCGATCGACATTGCCCTCTTTTACATATGAAAAGTGCTCCTATACCTCTGATTATTGCCCCCATTCAATATGAGAGATGCCCCTTTTATTTTAGCAAGTGCCCTTCCTTCCTGAGAATTAAGTGCCCCTTCCTCTTCTTATCGGGTGTCCTATTTTCACCTCTGATAAATTCCCCTTTTATTTTGAAATGTACCCCATTTTCCTTCAGTCTAATAAATGCTCTTTCTTCCTTCTGAGATGTGCCCATTTCTATCTCCGGTATAGTGCTTCTTTTCAGGAATGAGGAGTGCCCATTTTTACTTCTGACGAGTGCCACTTTTCCTTTGTATTAAGGGCTCTTTCACACTCTCATAACTGCCATTTTTTACACCTAATAAATGCCCCTATCAAAATCTGACAGTTGCCCATTTTCACCTCTGATGAATTCCCCTGTTGAAATATCATAGGTGCCCCTTTCCCTTCGATAACTAGCGACCCCTTTTTTATTTTCTGGTGACATGCCCCTTTTCAGAAGTGAGAAGTGCCCCTTTTTCATCCCTGAATTGTCCTTTCTAATTCGATATTTTTTCTATTCTAATAAATGTACTTTTCCCTTCTGATAACTGATGCCCCAGTTTCCTTTCTCCATAACATGTGCCCTAATTTGCGACTAAGAGCATATTTTTCTTTAATTTCCCCAATTATATATATATTTTTTTTTTTAGCCCTCCATAGGCTATTTTATCGAGTTAAATAAAACATTTTACAAAACAATGAAATTAAGTCTTTCTTTTACTCAAATAAAACAAAATACTTTAACATTTCTCTCCTTGCTCATACAAACAACAAATGTTGCAGTGACTGTCATTTAGTAAAAAAACAAAACTTGTTAAACATACCGACTATAGAATGGAGCAGGCGCGGATCCAGGATTTCTTAGGGGGGGGGGCCCAAATTTGAAATTATGCGAGCCAAATATTGGTACGTTATGGTGACCAACAGTGACGTAATGCGGGGGAGGCGAGTTTCTCCCTCCCAGGCTTTTACGATTTATTAAATTATTAGAGAAAGAAGACGATTCGTTGTAGAGTTCTCGACTATTAATCCTTGTCTAAATTCAGTCCCCCCCCCCTCCCCCCTCCTGCGCGAAGCGCGGAAGCTTTGACGTTTTATTAAACTATTAAAGAAAGAAAACGATTCGTTGTAACGTTCTCGACCCTTTATCTTCGTCTGATTTCAGTTCCCCCCTCCCGCGCGAAGCGCGAAAGCTTTTACGTTTCATTAAATCATAAGAGACAGAAAACGATTCGTTGTACTGTTCTCGACTCTTAATCCTTGTCTAAATTCAGTCCCCCCCTCCCCCTCCTGCGCGAAGCGCGGAAGCTTTGACGTTTTATTAAACTATTAAAGAAAGAAGACGATTCGTTGTACCGTTCTCGACCCTTTATCCTCGTCTGATTTCAGTTCCCCCCCCCCCCCCTCCCGCGCGAAGCGCGGAAGCTTTTACGTTTCATTAAATCATTAGAGAAAGAAAACGATTCGTTGTACTGTTCTCGACTCTTAATCCTTGTCTAAATTCAGTCCCCCCCCCCCTCCCCCTCCTGCGCGAAGCGCGGAAACTTTGACGTTTTATTAAACAATTAAAGAAAGAAGACGTTTCGTTGTACCGTTCTTGACTCTTAATCCTCGTATGAATTCAGTCACCTCCCCCCCCCCCGCGCGACGCGCGGAAGCTTTTACGTTTCATTAAATCATTAGATAAAGAAGACGATTCGTTGTACTGTTCTCGACTCTTAATCCTTGTCTAAATTCAGTCCCCCCCCCCCTTTCCCCCTCCTGCGCGAAGCGCGGAAGCTTTGACGTTTTATTAAACTAATAAAGAAAGAAGACAATTCGTTTTACCGTCCTCGACTCTTTATCCTCGTCTGATTTCAGTTCCCTCCCCCCCCCCCCTTTCCGCGCGAAGCGCGGAAGCTCTGACGTTTTATTAAACTAATAAAGAAAGAAGACAATTCGTTTTACCGTCCTCGACTCTTTATCCTCGTCTGATTTCAGTTCCCCCCCCCCCTTTCCGCGCGAAGCGCAGAAGCTTTTACGTTTCATTAAATCATTAAAGATTCGTATTACCGTTCTCGCCTCTGAATGCTCGTCTGAATTCAGTCCCCCCCCCCCCCCCACCTCCCCTCCTGCGCGAGGCTTTGACGTAGTATTATTAGAGAAAGAAAACGAAGCGTTGTACCGTTCTCTATACCCTTAATCCTTGTCTGAATATCAAATATGTTCTTTGTCTGCTCCTTTTTCTTCCTACGTCCTCTTCCGATTGGGGGGACCGCCCCCCCCCCCCCCAACCGCCCCCCCCCCTGGCTACGCGCCTGCGGTCAGATAAACACATCTTGATACCTTATCCGACCCCGCAAGCTCAGGTGTTTAAGGCAATAAATTACGGTCAGATAAGCATTCAGGGGCCCGCCTTAGGGCCCCTGTTAGGGTCGAGGCGGCGGAGCCGGCCCCGGAAGCTCAGGGGTTTTAGGCGTTTAATTAAGGTCAGATGAGCATATTTTTGTGTATATAACTATTCTTACTTTCTTGCTCTCATTCTATTTCATTTCTCTTTAAAATACTTTTTCAAGAAAAGTGGGGGGGGGGGGGGCTCGAGGCTCTCGATCCCCGCCGTACCTCGGGCCCTGACATGTAGGAATCTCAAGAATCATATTTTTTGCCTGGTTGTAAATTTAGGAATTTGTCATTTTCCAACAAACACATACAAACGTATAATTTACTAAAAAGTGAGGAAAGATTTCGGAAATTATGTCATTTCAGCAGTATTTGTAATCCACCGTTGTGGAATTAGAAATAAACCACGTTTGAATATGATTTCCCCCAAGCCCTCCCCCCCCCCTATCAGTAGTCCAGTATCTCCTCTTTTCCCCTTTTCTTTCCCTTTCCTTCCTTCTCTCTTATTTTTTTTTTGATTGGGGGTGGGGAGGGGGTGGGGGGGAGGGGGTTAACAGCCTAGGAGGCAAGGCCCTTTCGGCCCCCGATCTTCTTCTTCCCCCTTTTCTTTTCTTCTTCCTCTTCTTTCTTTCCCTTTTTCTCCTTTTTCCCTTTCTCCCTTCTTTTCCTATCTTCTCTCTTTTTTTTCTTTTTTTTTGCGGGGCGGGGGGGGGGGGGCCAAGGCCCGCTCGGCCCCCCCCCCCCTAGATCCGCGCCTGGAATGGAGGCTCATCTTCATAATATTGAATAATTGTCTTCTTCAAAGAACTAACATTTTGAATTATTTTATTAAGCTTTTGTACGAATAGCTGATGTTTAATCAAAGTCACCATGCAATTCAAAGCATCGTTTCTTTTGTCTTCAAAACGAAAGATTACATTTTCTAAATTAAACTTTAGCTGTACTCGAAAACCTTCATTTATCCATTTCACCGTTTCATTCCAGATTGATTTACTGATTTCACAGTTATAACAGAAATGTACAATATCTTCCAGCACTTTTTTGTACAAAACGAACATTTATCATTACTCACTATTTTTATCTTATCAGTTGCTTGTTCAAATACAGAATCCTATTTACTATCTTTGAAAATATCTTAAACCGATATGTGTAGTAGAACGAAATATCATCCTATGATATTTTTGCATTTTAATTTGACATTCAGCGGTATAATCTATAAAATGTCGTTCCCATTTTATACACAACTTGTTTTTCCAAGAAAAGTTTTGTAAATATATTGACGACCTTTTATGTCATGTACTATAATATTTTGATATGTGACGGCATTTGAGGATCTACTACATTAATTTTTTCCACATTTTTCAATATGCATTTGATATCGACACTTTAATTATAGCTTTTAATGATAAGACAATTAATTTAGTTTCAAGCAGAATTTGTGTTCATGATAGCTCACGAGTCAAAAGTTTTCCCTAATCATCAATCAAGTCATTTCAGCCTTTTTCATACCAAGATTAAAAAAACACAGATTTTTGTCCAATTTGTATTATAGTCCAATTTGTATTTTTGTCCAAAGTTTATAGCTGATATATAATTGTGTTTCTTATTAGATTGTGCTTCAAACTCCAATCAGGATTGTTTTTTCTCTCTTTATATGAGATGTAATTTTTCGCATGCACTGACTGTGACCTCATAAATATTTCTGTTTTGTATTTACTCGCTTCGCTGAATATTCAGACAATCATACTCAACTGCAAAGTATAAGGCCCAAAATGTATTTTCGCTTTCGGAGGTTTCCCTCTTTAGGTGCCCCTTTTATCTTGGTGATGCTTGGCAACAGGATGCCCGAGAAGCATTTTAATTTAGCAAAGTATTCTGATGACGAGATAATATCTTTTCTAGAATGAAAGAGTTTTTTTCGCGCTTGTATGGTTATGTAGATTGTATTCATGACGTGTTCATATTGGAAACTAGTGTGTGTCAAATGCTTTTTGTCCACTCATCAAATTGGCAATTGGTTTACTTTCAATGTGCTACCTTCATTGTTAAAAACTAGCTCCACCCGTGGCAGAGTTATACCGGTGCGGAGTTGCGTCAAAGAGTTTACCTCTTTTGTCCTGGTATTGGGAAGGGGTGGGTGCCCAGGGAGGGGGGGGGGGGGGGGGGGGGGAAGTTTTTACGTTTCATCAAATTGTTAGAGAAAGAAGACGATTCGTTGTACCGTTATCGACTCTTAATCCTGGTCTAAA